ATATTGCAATGCGCTGCCACCGTGTGACGCCTACGTAGTCATTGGAAAAAAAAACTACATATGTTGAAATTAACCAACTAGCTCTGCAAGCAACCGTCCTTAAAAAAACTGAGTGGTTTCTACTCATCGGCCCGGGCTTGCAACGGGTGTTCATCCGATGAAAGCTTCCATGGTCGCTTCGTTCCTCGGAAGTCACTCGAATTCTCTTCGCGAAAGCATTTGAACGAGTCAAAATAAACAGAACGAGAAAGAGTGTGTCAGCCGACAGAGGCTCGAAATATTTACAGTGAAATGAAACAGTCCGAGACACATCCCAACCTACCGCGAGCCGTTACCTGCCGTCGCAACCGTTGGCCACCGCAAATTTTGAAATGAGGAGTTTTAGTGCTGGGTACCCAAGCTCTTGGGGCGCTGCGGGCTTGGGGGCGCGCGGCGTTGCGTACCCAACACATACCCAACTGGAATGCCTTAAAAGCGCGAGACAGACGTGAGATTTTTCATGCGATGCAGCATGCGGCGTCACATGGTGCGGCGTGCCGCATGCACCCATGCGACGTTTTGGGACACGCGGAGGCGAAGGAGCTATCAGCGGCTGGCTCCACCCCCACGCGGCGCCTCGGCATGCGCGGTCGGACGACTTTGTATCCTCGTAATAAAGCTCAAAACAAACAGCACTGCACAGCCACGCTTCGTTCGGTAAAAAATAACAAATAAAACGTCCTCGTGAATGATAAGCACGTCGCAACAGTGGTAATAGCTGATTATTCACGACTCCGACAGGTAGGCCTTGCATGGCGGGTGCCGGTAGTCGCCTACGCCGTTCACACGCGAGCTCGTCATTGAACGCTTGTTTTTGATGACACTATTAAGTTTTGCACTCGGGTGTAATGCGTTTGCATACGCTGTTACTTTCTCGATGCCATCGATGTGAAGAGCAAGGGTGGAAGCAAAGCGAGCCAGCGCAGAAACGCTGGTAGCCGTGTTTACCTGCGGAATGAACTTGTATCGCTGCTCACAATCTCCGGTCTCGCTAACGGTTTCAAAACTGGCGTTGTCGTGCAGAACTGGCACACTTCAAACATCCCTTTATTCAATCCGGAATGATATCACGTCACCAGGGAAATGTACTAGATGTTTGTCACGCCGCCACAGTCGGCGATGCCAGCAAGGCAACGCTTGCACCACTCCATAGAATCGCTTCAACTAGCCTAAATCATGGGTGATGGGAGCGGCTACAGGGAGATGGCGCCACTAGCGGCATGACGTCACTCGTCTGCTCGCGTTGTAATTGGCTGCTGCCATGCAGCGAGGCGATGCTGCGACGAAAATATTTGGCTGGTTTGATGCTCGCCGCACCGGCTATGCGGCGGTGCGACGCGATGATACATCACGAAATGTCACTAAACATCACCACTCCGGCAGTCGCATTGTCGCACCGCACGCCGAATCGCAGAGAAAATTGCACGTCTGTCTCGCGCACGCAAACGCAAGCCGCACGAAGGTCACACGCGCTCGCAGCGCCATAGCGTCTTGTCGCGTAAGTATTATTTAATTATATTTATAATTTGAAATGTTGAATTAAATATACACAGTGATTAGGACACTTTTTTTATCGTGTACAGTATCCTGGTATACACAAAAAGTTAGATACAAGATTACAGTAACGAGAGTGTCGACATCTTGTGACACTTCGTGCAACCACAGTCATGAACATGTTGGCTTTCGCGTAATGTTTTTTAGGTGAAAATGAATAAAAAGCTTACTCATTTGTGATAACGCCGCGGTGCGGTTTTTGCACCAGACGTACAATGCACAATGTTTCTGCAATAACAATGTTGTGATTGTATGGTTCGCTATGGCCGCACTAGATGGTGCAACCTATTCGGGGGGGGGGGGGGGGCTGGCATATTTTTAGTTTCTATATCCCAGGCCATTCTAGCTTTGGTAATCTGACTGAAACAATGTAATGGCTATTGGTGCTCGCACTTTGGCTTATTTTAACTCGACAGCTAAAGTATCCGCAGTGCGAATACTGTGAGTTCCTGCGAAGGTGAACCTTACAAGGCGGCCGATCCATGCTGTCCGAGATTTTGCGCCTTTGTGCCACGATATTTGTATAGTGGCTAGCCACTATAATACTTGTGTGCAAAACTTAAAAGTCAAAGTGGTGGCTCTGGCCAGCCTCGGCTTTGCTCATCGTGAAGGTGGGTGACGTCACGGGTAACATGATGCGCCAGCATGTGCACCAAGGCAGCTTATCTCCGCTAGGAGGCGAGTGGTGGCAGCGTTGTTTATGGCCGCGCAAGCGCATGGCCCCAGCAATCTTGCGACGCATCTGTTTGGGGTTTCGCGCATGCGCAATACCGCCACCCCAACGTCCTGGGTACGCAAGCCGCTTGGGTACCCAGCACTAAAACTCCCTAATGATGTCAATAGGCTGCTGCTGACCTCGAGTCAGCTGGAGCAAAAACTATTACAAAAAATTGATGACGCAACACATGTTTAAGAAAAACTACTTGCTAGAACAAGTTGTTTTTTATGTGTAGCGGTACGCAAAAATGTAGTATTTGATCATTTTGATATTAATACTTCGTCCCGACGAGGGCACACTAGGTGTGAAAGATGGAGTAACTAATCTTTTAAAGGATATCTATAAAGGTAACAAGGCAGTTATAAAGTGGGAAAAACGGGTATCCAAGCCTGCAAAGGTAAAACGGGAGCTTAGGCAGGGGTGTCCTCTGTCACCCTTATTATTCATGATGTACCTACAAGGATTAGAGGCCGAATTAGAAAGAAGTGGACTTGCCTTCAACCTCTCTTTCGTCAAACAAGGAAAACTCGTTGAACGGGCACTACCAGCATTGATGTACGTAGGTGATACAGTGCTGATGGCCGACAACAAGGAAGCTTTGCAAAGATTGATGGACATCTGCGATAATGAGGGAGATAGGTTAGATTTCAGATTCAGTAAGGAAAAAGCAGCAGTCATGATTTTTAATGATAATGAAGGTAGTGAGCTTAGAATACAGGAGGTCACGCTACAGATAACAGATAAATACAAATATCTGGGCGTATGGATAAGCGATGGGCCGAGTACCTAAGGGAACACGAAATATACGTGGCGACTAAAGGTAGCAGGAATGCAGCGGTGATGAGAAACAGGGCACTGTGGAATTACAATAGGTATGAGGTTGTGAGAGGAATATGGAAAGGGGTCATGGTTCCTGGGCTGACGTTCGGCAATGCGGTCTTGTGCATGAGGTCAGAAGTTCAAGCAAGATTAGAAATTAAGCAACGTGAAATAGGTAGGCTTGCTTTAAGAGCTCGCGGGAATACACCAAATCAGGGAGTACAAGGTGACATGGGATGGACATCATTTGAGGGCAGGGAACCTAGCAGCAAGATAAAACTTGAGAAGCGATTGAGAGAAATGGGGGAGGAGCGTTGGGCTAGGAAGGTTTTCAGCTACTTGTACATGAAGAATGTCGATACAAAATGGAGGAAGCGAACCAGAAAATTGACGGCTAAATACTTAGAAAACAGCAGGGGGCCAAACCAAAAAGAACTATCAGGTAAGAAGAAGGTGAAGGAAACGGAGACTGACATGTGGAGAATTGGCATGATTAAGAAGTCCGCACTATATACAGATCTATCGAATGTTTAAGCAGGAAATTGCCAAGAAAAGGATCTATGATAATACTCGGGGTAGTTCTCTACTGTTTGAGGCCAGGGCAGGAGTATTGCGAACCAAGACATATCAGGCGGGGGAGGCGCTACGGTCGCCAGTGGGAGCAAACGCATGTCACATCGGCTCCGTCGATTTGTGAATGTTTCCGGGGGTTTTTAAAACTCTACCCTTGAAACTGGCACACCATCGGACAGATCAAGTCATCGCGAACCCACGGATACCAGCTTTCTGGGTGAGCGTGAGCTTTACGAGCATTAAGGCTCGTAAACTGCAAGAACTATTCGAGTGAGCATCTAGGCCTAACGGTGGTCGAACCTGGCGCATACCACGTCTAACTCGAAGACTGAAAGAACAGCCGAGATGGATGTAGACGAGGCAGGGACAGGGGAAGCCACGGACCACAGAACTGAACAAGCAAGAAGCGTTTCCACGGGTGAATACGAAGACGCTGACAGCGTTGCAGATGGCTGGATTGAAGTTACACGAAAAAAAAGAGGACGCGCGAGCCAAAACAAGGTGGTGAAACAAGAAGACGCGCGTTCACCAAACCCGATGCGCCAAGGCTGCCGAAGCATTGTCAGCAAGGTTCTACGAGCAAGCAAGATGCCCAGACTACCCAGGGACGATATCAAGGTAATTGTTCGACCGAGGGACGGGCTGAATATAAGGAGCACGTGCGGTGCGAGTCTTGATGAGGCGATACGCAACGGAGCAGGAATGAGCGACGACGAGATGATCACGATCTGCCCCAACCCCACGCAAAATATTTTGGTGATAAGCACACCGGAGGAAAGCACAGCGACGAAAATCGCCAAGATGAAGGTTTTGACTATCAACGGAAAGAGGTACGAAACGAACGCATATGTTTCGGCGCCTGCGAATATGACAAAAGGAATCATACGCAATGTACCTCTTAAATATAATCAAGATCATCTCGTGGAAGCACTGGTGAACACAGCCCCGCCGGGGTGGTCTAGTGGCTAAGGTACTCGGCTGCTGACCCGCAGGTCGCGGGTTCGATTCCCGGCTGCGGCGGCTGCATTTCCGATGGAGGCGGAAATGTTGTAGGCCCGTGTACTCAGATTTGGGTGCACGTTAAAGAACCCCAGGTGGTCAAAATTTCCGGAGCCCTCCACTACGGCGTCTCTCATAATGAAATGGTGGTTTTGGGACGTTAAACCCCACAAATCAATCACTGGTGAACACAAGAAACCCCTCTCTAACGTATGCGAAGAGGCTCGGTAATACGAAAAACGTGATACTGCTCTATGAAGGAAACCGAGTTCCTTCGTGGGTTTACTTCAACAGCGTTATGATAAGAGTATCTCTGTACCGGAAACAGATAGACTTCTGCAAGGAATGTGGCAGGTTCGGCCACAGACCTGACGTGTACCCAAGACCAGATATCAAACTGTGCCCAATTTGTGGATTAAAGAACCCCACCAATGGACACGAGTGTACGTCCCAGTGCCGAACATGTGGTGAGGCGCACCCCACGGCTGACCGGATGTGCAAGGCCAAATACAAGGTGCCGCACATAGCGAAGCAGAGAAGGTGGAAGGCCAGGTTCAGAGACTTTCAAGAGCGAACCCCGTCACCATCGGATAGCAATGTTGGTGCGGTGGAAGGGGGCCGCCCTAGTCGCTCGAGATCCAGAACCCGCTCCCAACAGGTCATGGGTTCGTCAACCAGATCCGGATCCCCCTCGCCGGTAAAAAGAAGGAGCAAAAGTCGTAGTACGAGCAGAAGTCGGAGTCGGAGCAGAAGCCGCAGCGAGAACCGACATCACCCCCAACAAGACATAGGAGGGGCCACACCTGGCGGAAAACAGAAAGGGCCGCACAAAATCACCTGGCATGACATACTCACGGGAACAAAGGCGGACTCCACACAGGGGCACCCTCTCTCCGGCCGCCCGTGGGCAGCCGCCGACCCCGGCCTGGCAGCGAGGATGGAGAACATGGAGAAAGAGAATAGGGAGCTTAGACAAGAGTTGGCCAAGGCCAGAAAGCAGAATGAAAAATCAACGCGGAAAATTGAGGAGCTACAACAGACACTGAACGAAATCCTCGGGTGCGACTGTTCTCACAACAAATCCGTGCAGGGCGGGGCCTCGCCGCGATGACGTTTTCTTTTTTTTTCTCTCTGTCTCTCTCTCTCTCCGTTTGACGGCGCGTTCGACGCGGTCGCTGTGGTGGCGTGCACTCCACGTGAGCGAGCAGCGTGCACTGTCTTGTTAAGTGGCCGGAAAATCGGAACGCAACGATGAGAGAGCCTCCTCACCGACAGAAGGTGATCGAAAAGTACCTCCAAGGATTACGTCATGACGACGGCTACTCTCATGGCTACCTGAAGTCAGACGAAGAGCTAAAGCTTTTTGAGAGGTCCCTGGCTGCCGTCAACGAGAGGTATGCTGTGCGGACATCAAGAGACCTGAGCAAGTCGTCTAAATGTGAGGATGTCTCGATTGCTTCTTAATGTATTGATCTGCGCGTAGATCTAGCATTGAAACACGCAGTAGTAATTTAAACCAGCTAGGGACACGGCAGGACAGGCTTCTTCTCAGTTGCGGTTATTGGTTTTCACCTTTTTGAAGTTAGGGTTAGGTACCGATTGTTTTCGTTACCGGTTCACAGTCCCCCTTGAACCTATTCATTTCGGTGTGAGTGAAGTATTGTTCGGATTACCGGGACATGACCCGATCTTCAGAGATTCTATAAACGTTATTGGAGCTGTAATTGGCGCCTTGTCTGTGTCTGCATGTTTCTTTGGTCCCCGTTGCTTAGCGCCCCAAATTATTCAGTTGTAACTGAACTGTATTTTTTCGGTTTTAGTCATGATTAGCATCGCGCTAGCAAGCTAATTGTGACACGGCCGTGCGTGCCATGCGTGGTCCTCCAGGAAGTGTGAATTAGACGCCTAGAGCAAGGCGGGCCTGATGTTGAACGCTGTATATGAGAAGCTGAAGGGTCGGGGTCGAGATTTTTTGCCCAATTATATTAAAATCCCAAGGCCCAACCAAACTGTAACGTGTTGGTGCTGCTTGTAAGTTGTAACTTAAAAACCGCATAAAAAGTCTGGGTAATTATTAATATTAATAATGATAATTATATTTATTATTCTGGTTGACGAAAGCCAGAATTTCTTGCCAGAGGCAGTGCATCTTAAAGTTTTTTTGCTGCCATTACACAAAAACTAAAACAAGATTTGATATTGCCCTCTGCCATGCATAAAACTAGGTGCCTTGATTAAATCATCTTTATTGTTTATTTTCAGCCAATGTCGTCTTCTCCATGATCCACTGCGGATCTCGAATCTCTCTGGACAATGTGCCGTTCCGAGTTGTCAAGGAAACCGTCAAAGTGTGCATATTTGGAACGGAGTACTACAAGAAAACTCGGGAGAAAAAAAAAAGAACAGGTATGTTACATGGTGATGCACTTCCAAAAGTTTCAATCTCATGCACATATCCAGCAGTCTTCCAGTTCAAAGATTGTGTGTAGGCAGTGTAAAGAAGATTTACTTTAAGTTACTACAAGTTTACACGAGAAATAAATATTGTTAACTTCATTTACAGAGTTCAAGTACCACTGACTGGCAGAAGGAGGTGTACGAGAAGAAGCGGGTGAACCTCCAAGGCACAAAGAAGAAGGGGTGCGCAGCAACAATGAATCTGAAGTGGATTGAGTTGTACCCAGATTTCCAGGTATGTAGTGTGCAATGACAAGTAAAAAATAATTCCAGATTAATTTCTGGAGACCTTTATCATGTCATTTATGATTGTGCAATCCGACACAACACAGTTGGTTGAAGATCATTATGGTTTCAAGCAGTGCAACAAGATGAGGGCAAAGTCAAGATGAGACAGAAGACAGCGCTCTATATTTCCACCATTGCCAGTATGTATACACGTGGGAAATAGCAAGATAAACAGAGTGTGAAAGATAAAATGAGCACAACGCATACAGTCTCGGCATCTAAGCCAAGACTGTATGTGTTTTTTGCTTTGCACTCTTATTTTGCTATTTCCCACATGTATACATACTGGCAATAGTGGAAATATACTTCCAGCTATTAGTTCAGCGCTGTCTTATGTCTCATCTTGACTTCGCCCTCATCTTGTCGCACTGTTTGAAACCATAAAATATGATCTGTGTACTTAACAGTGCCTGCTTTCTAGGTGGATGTGCCCCAGCCATGCGGCCAGACAAGAGAGGGTCGTCTGAAAGCCGACAAGGCCAAGGAGCTGCAGGAGGCACTTGACGCAGAGCAGCAGACTGTGGTCAAAGAGACGCGGGTATATGTTAGGATTGCCGACTGCAGTTCCCGTCAAAACCATGGTTTCGAGGACATGGAAGCTTTCAGCCAAAACATGGACAAGAGCGTTGCTGACCGAATTCAGATGTTGGCAAAAGAAGGCATTACTTCTGTATCAGATGTGAAAAAGTGCCTTCACTATTATGTGCACGACGTACTTTTTGCGAACAAGGAGAAGCCTCATAGCAGCTGCAGGGCCTTTTTCCCAACACATCGTGACATTAGCAACCAGATCCAAGCTGTGCTTAACCCATTGGCTTCCGCGCACTGCGCGCCCGGTCCTGCCTAAAAGTTCCTGCCTAAAAGTTCCTGCCTAAAAGTTCCTGCGCGCCCGGTCCTGCCGGCAAAAGTTTCGCGCCAGCGGGCGGCATGGGGCGGTGTATAAAAATCGCAATAAAGTCCGCAAGAAACGTTATAGAACCACAATTCTTGCTTTATTCTGTTTGCAATGCTTTACTGCAGCAACTCGGTCAGTATGATTTGCGTGTGTGAAATTCTTTAAAACACACAGGCATGTGAAGCGCAACTTTGCATTTTTCGCACTCCCACCGGCTCTCGGACTTTTTGCCATGTGAATTGCAAACTAAGCAAAGCCTGGATGGATTTTTTTTTACTTTGTTCGGAAGGATCTGACGAGGAAAATGAGCCCACTCGGAAGCTTGCAGGCACATTGGTGTAGGCGCGATAAGCGGGTTTCTTCGGCCGCGGTAAAGGGGCAGAGTGACCTCTTCGAAAATGGCCTCGGCGAGATTGACCTTCCAATCGGTGTAGTGGAGCCGCTTGCCGGTAGCTTTTCCAAATAAAACATAGCTGTTATAGACAGCAATGTCCATAATGTAAAAGAAAATTTTCTTGTAGCCTTTTGCGTATCTTCTCATAATGGGAAAAGAAGCAAGTTGTTGGTCCTCGCGATCAACTCCTCCCATTCCTCGGTTGTAGTCTAATACAACTTGTGGTTTCAAAACTGGCAGGCCGTTCCTGCGACCCTTCTTGCCGGAATCATTCACATTTGCTCCACTGTGCACGGTTGACAGCATAGTGACCTGCTTTTTATCTTGCCATGTTAGAGCCATGATCCCTCTCGCAAAGAGAACTTCGCATTCACCTTTTTTCAACTTGAGCTGGTTGAAGCCTTTTGGCATATTCTTGCGGTGTAGACGAACTGTACCAACTGCATTCGAACCCGCATCTTTGAGGTGACGAAAAAGTGTAGGCGAAGAGTACCAGTTGTCCATAAATATTGTGTGGCCGTCAGGAAGGCGTTTTCCAACGAGGTCAAGAACAACGGACTCACTGCACAATAGCCCATCTGTTGCTGGCGTCTTCTCACTTTTTCCAGTATAAATTGAAAAATTGAGGCAGTAGCCACTAGATGACTCACAGAGTTTGTAGAATTTCACTCCAAATCTTGCTCGTTTCGAGGGGTTGAATCGTACGCAGGACAGGCGACCGCGGAACTTCATCAGACTTTCACCCACCACAACACTTGCTTCGGGATTATACGCTGCGCCAATGGACTTGAGTATGATATCGAGGACAGGCCGTATCTTCCAGAGCCGGTCTTCACTTTGGGGAAGGCTGTTGTTGCAGAAATGCAGGTACCGCGACAGCGCCCAAAAAGATGTCTTGACATAACAGTGGTAAAAAATGGTGTGCTGGTAACAGACCTCGTCGACCAATAGGACTGAATGCTACCCTTCTTTACTTGGCTCATCAGCACACACAAGGCGAAGTAGGCTTTCATTTCGTCGGCGGTTGTTTCATGCCATGAGGAGTCGGGATGCAAAAGCTGCCTTTCGCGTGCGAAGGCGTTTGTGTGCAACGCGATGATGCTCCAAATCGCCACTCCAAGAAGCGCATTGAACATTCCAAGAGCAGTGGGACTTCCACCTACTTGAAGCTCGATGGATCTCTTGATCTCAGGCTGGCCGCGGAAGGAGTGCTTGACAGTATTTTCCACACTGTCATCTTCTTCCCATTGCCATTCTTCCATCTTTCGCGCCTTTGGAGAAGGCGGCAAAGTATCCAGCGGATCTTCTGCTGCACACACGTTCTCCTCCTCCTCCTCATCACTAGTACTTTCATCACTTTGATCCTCCCCATCGTCTAATGAAACATCTTCATCATCACAAATGTCACTTTCGGCGTCGCTATCAAACACAAGTTGCAGAATTTCGTCTTCTGTCAAACCACGCTTTCGCCTCGCTCACTTCGCACACAAAACAGCTCCAAACGCGCACAAAAATAACTCCAACAGTGGACAAGTATGTCCATCTAGCGGAGAAAACATCAAACAAAAGGCAAACACCAACCAATGTGCTGCCATCTATGAAAGATCATGAAAAACAATAATTTTCTAAGTGGCCGGCGTTTCGCCGGTCAAAGAACTTTTGGCCTCGGCCGTAGCGGCCGGTGGATCGCCGGCCGCGGAAGTCAATGGGTTAAGAAAGACCGCTTCAGCACAGTTGATCAAGAGAATGCTAGAATCCTAATTGAAAAGATCAGGGGTGAGCAACCCGAATCCTCCGTTGTCTATCGGCCGTATGCAGCACACAGCTTCGTGGGTAGCAGCGACTCGGACAACGTGGAAGAGGGCGTTGCCAGCGAGTGTGAAGACACGTTGCTGTTTTGCTTCCAAACAAAATTCATGAGGAGCATGCTTAAAAAGTACGGAGGCTCAGTAGTTTGCCTGGATGCAACGCACAAGACGAGTGACTATGCCCTACCACTTTTCTTAATTGTCGTGAAAACACCATCAGGATACACACCAGCTGGTGTGTTTATCTATCATACAGTTCGAGACGGCCCACTGTATCGCTGAGGCTTTAGACGTTTTCAAGCAATGGTGTGACAACTGGTCCCCACAATACTGGATGGTGGATTATAGCAAGTGCCATCAAGCGTTTCCAGAAAGTCAAATCTCCATCTGTGACTTCCATAGACTACAGACATGGCAGAGGTGGCTGCGCAGAAAGGAAAACAACATATCCGATCCAGATGAGGCCCTGAGACTCATGAAACACGTAGCCAGTGCTTCAAATCAGCATGACTTTGACAAGGCGGTTGAAGTCCTTGTTGACTCTGAGTATTGGAAAAACGAAAGATTCCGCAGTTATTTTGAAGAAGTGTGGCTGTCAGTAAAAGAGCTGTGGGTCATGTCTTACAGGCTGGAGTTTCACGTTGTGTTGACCACAAATAACGGCATTGAGGCCCAAAACCGCATGTTGAAGGCACAGTACGTGAAAAGTTCCAGCGGGAAAGGGTCGTTAACATCCCTGATCATGACTGTCGTTCATGGCTACCTTCCCGACAAAGAAGCGAAATTCCATGAGGCAGCAAGGAGGCAGTCATCAGCGTACAGACAATACAGTGAAAATGTTCCTGCATACCTGCACAACCGGCCTCATGGGTTCGTTAAGCATATGCTGAGACGGCTCGTTAACGCAGAGGAATACACCCCCACAGACATGGAAGAGCTCCCCGTTGAAGGTGTGTTTACGGTTCATTCCGAAAGAAGTGATGATGATCTGTACACTGTCGACTTCACCAAGCCATCGTGTACCTGCCCTCATTTCAGGAAGCACAAGTACCCATGCAAGCACTTTTGCGTTGTTTTTAAGTACAGCGACAGGTGGGGCTTTTTCTCTCTTCCGCAGAGTTACCTCAATCGATCGCAAATTACTCTTGGAAGCTGTCCAGAATCCGAAACAAGTTCCGAGATTCCCCTTGTCAATCAGCCCAGCCCTTCTGAAGTGTCTTCACAGGATCTTGGTACAGCAGCATCAGAGTCAGACATTCCCTTTGTCAATGAGACCAGCTTTTGTGAAGTACCTTTACAGCCTGGGATTGCTATGCTTCCTGGGACAGCAGCCCCCTCAGTGTCGGAGCTACACAAAAGTATAACCAAGGAATTGGAAAAGTGCAGTTCTCTCCTTTACTGCTGCCATGACGTTCAAACACTGGTCGAGGCTAGGGGCTTATTGCAAGCCACCTTCCGTAAGCTGGCTGAATCTGTGCCACAGAGTTCTGGCCTTCACATTCGGGGCTCACCGACAAAAGGATGCTCGTCTCTGAAGCCTCTTCCGAAAAGAAGACGCCTATAGTGTGCTGTCACTCTGCCATTGACTGGAGCTTTGACTGCTAGGAAAGGATCGGGGGAAACGGTAGAGATGGACCACTCGGTGATTTTTTTTTTTTTCATTCTTTTTAAAAAAATTGTAATTGTTGCAAAACTCAATTTATTTTACTATTCATAACTTTGGCCTAAACACAGTGTTCAGACATCTTTGTGAATAATTTTTAGAATGTTTAGAGCTTTTAAGATTAATATGGTATGTTTTATACTAGACTTCATTATAGCCATGCAATTGTGACATTGGCAACGACTGTGTATGTGTATAAATGCAGCCGTAATTTTTTGTGTTGGTGATACTCTCAATTCAGAGAGTGTGTGAAAGTATGTTTTTAGGCTTCTGCTTTCAATCTATGTGTATAAAACTGTTTGTAAAGTTGCATTCTTTCTGTACTTGCTACGGATGTGCTTGCTTTTATACTTTCCTTTTGACATTTTAATATAGTATCTGTTGTATGTGAAAGCATGTTAGTACATTTTTTCGGGTGGTCATTTCAAGATGTATTCATAGCATGCTTGTAATATCCATAGACTGTAAATAAACCAAATGTGAGGGAATGCGTAATGTGCACAAAAAGTTTACTGTGAAAATGTGAAGTATGGTTACCTACCCAGCAGAGCAATTTCATCAAGACTGCTGCAACAGCTGTGACCGGTTGATGTAGAGGCTGGGCAAACAAACTGGCCTTTTTTTTTTAGGGCAACTATGGGAACTACCCCCTCAGTGAAACGCTTTAGGTATACATATTGATACTGCAAAGGAAAGTTTGACATCCACCTAAATATCTGCCTAAATCAGTCTATCGGAACACTCCCCTGCACTCGTTAACGAGAACACTGAACAACACACAAAATCGTTCCGATAGCACTATCAACAACTCGAGACTCTTTCTCACTACTTTGGACACACTGTGCACCAAAAGGTCCTGTTGCGGACGCCAGATTAATTGTCACACAGGTCCCGTTAATTCGGGAGGCGATCGCCGGTCTAATTCCAAGGGCCGAGGTATCGGCCCCCCGAACCGCACCACGAAAGCGTGGACAATTTAGAAGTGGTTCTATTTGGCGCGCCAGCGGACACCGGCTGTGGCCCAAGGAACAAGTCAGAGCCGAGAGTTGATAAAGAAACGAAATTATATTCTCAATAATTGCAGATCAAAACAACACACAAGTATGCACTCTCCACAATAGTTGAGTACAATATATCACCAAAACAAACATTGTACTAAACAGTACAATCAGCCACACTCGAAACAACGGACACAGACAACAATACGCACTACAATGCAGTCGCATGCATTGAACAACCAAGACACTTAAAGACTTAAGAGATAGGAAACCTATTCAGTCCAAAGTTCTTGGAACAAAAGTCTGGATGATACTCTTCCGAGAATCACTCACTCAAAGTCCAGCGTTGTTGTCGTTCCGCTGCCCTCGAAGTTTCTCTTCCAGGAAACCTCACGTCTTCAATTGGCCACTCTCCAAGCTTCAAACTTCTTCGCCGGAAACACGTTGGCTTCACACACGCGGCTGTTGCCACGCGTCTTCGCTCGATAGCGGTAGACACACGATCTTGCCTGTAGCTCGAGCCTTCGCCCCTCAGGTGGAAATTCTCTTCTTCTCCTGCTTTATCCCTACAGACAAAGCCTTCGCCGACCACGCGGCGGAATCCCTACGCACTCTGGCGCTAACTTCCGTCTTCTCCTGATCTCTCACCTCGGCTGCTCGATTAAATACCCTCCGCGTGAGATTCCAGAAGGTTCTCGTCATTTCGTCGGCGCGATACGCAGCGAAGGTTGGGGAGAGGGCGAGACGGTTCGAATGCTGGCCGCGACAGATGACTCAACCCGGCTTCAACCACACCCCTTTCCATCTAGAAAGTTCGAGTGCTTGCTCGGCCGCCGTTGTGGGGTGAGGAGATTCGTCGGCGAATCTACGCTTCCGAGGGAGGGAGTCGCGCCCGGGGAGTCTGGATGTTTGTTTTCCTTTTTTTTTTTTTTATCGTTGACCTCGCGGCGTCACTCCGGCGTTTCATCGCGAGGCGTTGGCGGTGCGCTCTTTTTGAGCGCTCGTTCTGTGACAACGGGATAGCTGCAGAAAAAGCTGTCATATATGGCTTGACTGAACTACAGTCCTTATATACAAGAGGCGACAGTGAAAGGCAGCTCAAATCAAGACCGTCGCATGCATACGACTTCATGTTATAAAATTAGCAGTTCCATGTACAAATAAAACCGATGAGCGAAGCTCCTTAGGAAGGGTACTCAAACGACTACCGTAAAGTGCCAAGCAAGTGCCCCCCTCCGAGCAAGTGCCCCCTCCTCTCTTTCTCCTATGCGGCCACTTTTTTTTTTCATGATGAACATTGCTTATGTAAAAAGAACTACAAGAATTAGTACACTGAATGTATATCCAACAAAATTCTTTATGAAATTTCGTTGTAATGTAAGTAAAGTATTTCATTAAAAACATGGATGTGCATTTTTTTGTTTTTGCGGCACTCCCACCGCCATCTTGAATTTCGGTCTTAGACCAAGTAAGTGCCCCCCTCGAAATGTGATTAAATTTTAATCACCATAGGGGGGAGGGGGAGTGCACTTGCTCAGCATTTTACGGTATGCGCCTGATCTCACTGATGGCTTTCATGAGAATGGTAGGATGGGGCAACGTTTTTAGAACCAGTACGGTTTCGCAGCTCTGCTTGCGAGCCAGCACACACTGCTGACGCATGAACTTATGGCGCTGCTGTTCTATTTTGCTTCAGTTGCTGTGTCCCGCGGAGTTCGGTACGGCAGCGCACCGTTGCTCTCAATTGCGCTTTGCCGAAGCTCATTGCAGAGGCGACACACATGCTGCAGCGAGCTGAGACATGCAAGAACTAGCTGCTTACAATGGGTTTCGCGTCTTTTCTTGCTTGCTTTCTCCATACTTTGTGCGTGATTTGCAGCTTCGATGGTGACGGCAGGGTGCAGGCCAAAGGATCTTCGCTCTTAAAACAAAAAAAAAATACTGCATAGTTAGACGGGTAATGTGCAAACAGAGTGCTATCTACACTTTGTACCTACAGCATGAATTGCTTCAAAATAATAATCATAATAACCCCAGCAATAATTGTTGTACTTGTGATAGACAGTTATAACAGTGACAGAAAAAAATTCATTCTTGTATCTGACTGTGTGTGTTTTCTTGGCATA